CTGGGACCTGGGCAGAGACACGGCAGCTGGCAAACTGTCTGAGGTCTGCTGGGTCCAGGCAGCGTTTGGGGGGGGGGCTCCTCCACTTTAAACCCTTTTCCAGCGAAACTGCCTCCCTTAGGGTCCCCACACAACTCAGTTTATCACAGAGCAAAGGGGACATGCGTGGTCACAAAATGGAAAAGGAAAACATAACCAAGAAAAACCCAGACGCTAGGTGAACCCTATAGCAAAGCTCTATTTCCTCTATTTATTTTACCCTTCCTGTGCCAGGCACGGTGCTGGGCACTTTCCGTTCATTGCAACCCTTCATGCGAACACCTGCTACCCATTTTACAGATGAGGAAACAGGCACAGAGAGGTCGAAGGCATGATGGAGGCCACCCAGATGGAGTGAGGGGCAGGGCAGGGCAGGGCAGGGCTTGGCAACACTGAGCTCAGCTCTTTCTGCTCAACCCTTGCCTAGTTTTCAGGTCCCCATTCAGCCTCCCGGCGACAAGCCCGGGGACAGCCCTAGGACTGCGCTCAGCTCGGCTCTTCTGCCTAACCCCTCCCCACACACTGACACCGCACACATTGTGCCAGGCACTCAGGGCTGGCAGGAGACGTCTCAAAGCCTGGCAGCTCACCCCAGCTTCACTGCCAAAGCCTGGGGCTGCCTCAGAGAGGCCACCTGCCTCCTGGCCTGGGCGCTTAGTAGGGTGGGCTGCAGGCCACCCTGGCCTCCCTGCCCCATGGGGCTGGCTTAGGCTTGCCAAGCACCACACTACCCAGGCCACAGCCCTTCACCCTCGATTTCCCCCTCCATAAATGGGGTCAGGGACGTTGTCTAACTGCTTTTGCCAGCACAAAAGAAAACTCAAAGAGCAACTAACTCTTAACTCCCTCTATCTAGACAGTCTTCTCCTCCCACTGGCCCCAGATTTTCCCCTCCTGGTGACTTCAGGCTGCTTTAACTGTGCTCTCCTAAGGCGCGCATGAGACCATGCAATTAAGGTTCTCGATAAGGTTCCACCCGGAAGCACAGCCCAGGACCCAAGCAAGAGCTGGAACCAGGTTCTCAAAAGCTGCTGGTGTTCATTTCAAAATGCACATGTGGGCCCCGGGCCCATGACTTAATCCATAAAACACCTACGGAGTTATGACGCTGCGTTTGGAGAATAAACATATTATTCAGGCCCTTGTATTGAGTTCAAAGAGAGACTTAGTAACTCACCAGCTTTTGAGATCAAGAAAAGTCTGTTCTTAAAACTCCATCATCATGGTTATCACTATTTTTCTCTGAATACGTCCAAGGTAAAGAGTATAGCGCTCAGCGTTTCACATGGGCTATCTCAACCCTCATGTTGGTACCCCCATGCTACAGGGGACAAAAGTAAAGTTCAAAGAGGTTTCACAACCTGCCAGCCCACAGAATGAGCTCCAAACTTTACTTAGTAAGAAACTAAGCACCCCCCTCCAAGGCCTTACTCTTTTTAAAATCTAACCAAGGAGTCAAGTTCATTGTCTTTCCTTGAGTTACTTTTTCAAGTCAGAACTTTCTCAGATGAACTCAAGGTTTCACATTGTGTATGATGTCTTCAATGAATGTTTCAAAATAAAAGCATGTACAAGGGCCCTGTGTGTTTAACATTCAAAAGCATCCTTTAAAAAAAATCTTTCCTAAGAATGTTTGCCCATTGGTGGTCCTGGGTGTCTCCTGCTTGAGTCATCCCAAAATCTAGCTGACTCAGGGTCTTGTTTTTACCCTGCAAAGAGTACCCCCACCTCCCCACCCTGCCCCCAGCTCCCCACAACCCCCCCACCAGGACCTGGAGTGCAGGCAGCTGAGCTAGGCTGGCGGGGGGGGGGGGGGGGGGGGGGCTGGTTTGAGTGGGATCCTTTCCTCAAGTTTGAGGACTTGAGGACAGGCCCTGAGGGGGCTGTGGGGGGAGGAGAGGGCATAGCGCCAGATGTCCCACAGCCTGGGTGTGAGCCCCATCCTGCCTAGCTCAGGCCTCCTGGGGCCGTGTGGGGAGGACAGGAACTGCATGTCTGCCAGGGCCCGGCGCAGAGTTGGCAGGGGTGGCTAGGTTCTTTGTTCTGTTTTCTAATAAGTTACAACTCATTTCCAAGTGCTTCTCCTCCTGGCCTTAAATCACACCTTCCTTAATACCTTCCCCCTAGAAGCAGGTAGAGGTTAAGGGAGTCTAGACGGAGGGGAGCAGGGGTGCTGTATCCCCCCCAGCCGGGCCACCCTGCTCTGCCTGAACCCAGATGCTTCTCTCCCTCCTCCATCCTCCCAAGCCTGGATGTCGAGAGCCCTGGGCTCCTGCCTGTTTGAGGAAGACAGACAAGAGGGCAAAGGAGACAGGAGACAGCAGCTGGGGCTGCAGAAGAGCCCACCCAGCTCCCTACCAGGGTCTCCCTGAGGGCCATCGTCGCCCCAGCAGCCTGCAAGCACCTGCCATTGCTCTTTGCAGCTCCTCCTCCTGGGTAGGAGTAATGCCACCCCGCGTCCCCCTACCTGAGCTGCTGAACAAAGAGTCCTCACACTGCACAGGAAGCAAGGGGTAACAGGGCAAGGCAGGGTAGTCTCATGACTGTCCTGAGGATCTGAGGATGAAGATCACATAGGCAACCTGACCGCTCCCCCCATACTTTGAGCCCATGAAGGAGCACAGCCACTCCGTGGGAGGTCCTGCACGCATGCGGGCGCACACGCGCACAGCCCACCATCACGGCACATCCCATCCCCGTTTCTCACTAACGCACTGCTCTGATCACATCACTGCCCTGCTCAAAAACCTTCAATGGCTCCCTATGGCCTAATGAAGGAAGGCAGGTCCCTGATGCCTTCTCCCTGCCCATGGGCCAACTATCTCCTACACACACACACCAGGATCCTCCGACTCCCAGACCCAAGCCTGTGTGACTTCCCATTCTGCCCAAAGCAGCCCACCTGGCTGGCCACACCTCTAGGAAGCCAGTCCTGGCTACCCTTGTCCTCGCTCTCCCTTCTCCTCTAAGGCTGCCCAGGTCCAGCCAGCACTCCATGCCAAGCCTCATGCTGTTCTCTGCTGCCTTTTATGCCTCTCATGTCCGCAATGAATGTCCCCTTGCAGGGTCCCTCCTAGAAGAAACTGCATCCAGCCATGTTAATCACACGGGTAAGAGCTGCCACAGGTATTCCAGTGTCACAAGGACCCCACAAGGGAGGTAATATTATCCCCATGGTGCAAATGGGGAAACAGCACAGAAAGGTTGTCTTCTTGCTTGGAGATCATAACCCTGCTCTGTTAACCTCTGAGATGAAAGGCTGGGAGAACTTGTAGAGCAAGGAGGTGGCGGGAGGTATAGGGCAAAGGCCCTCCCAGAATCTGGAACCTCAGGCCTGGCTACTGTGGGGTTCTGGGGAAGCTCCCTCCAGTTCCCTTCCTCATGCACCCAGTGAAGCAGAGCCGTTGCCACAAGAACCCAGGGCTGGCTTTGGGACCAGGTCACATCCAGGCCATCCCTCCCTCTATAGTGCCCTTTTCTTCCACTGGCTGTCTAAATGTGCCCGGCCCATGCCACCAAGTCCAGGAAGCTATCCCTCCATCCTTCCTTTCTTCCTTGGCATTTCTGGGCCTGCCCACCATCCACATTTGTGGTCTCCCAGTGAGCAAGACCCTTCTACATCAGCTCTTTACAAAGGGTGTCTGTCGGTGGGATGTTATTTGGAAGTCTTTAAATGATGTCCACAGTCACATCAGTTTGGGAAACAATAAATGGTTTCTGTTCTACAGGACTTATCAGAGCCTTTAATTCTCTTAAATGCATTCTGAACCTCCCACAGGGTAGTAGAGTGAATTTGCCAGTTTCCACCTTTATTTGTCCCTGAACCCTTGAGGTTGCTCAGAACAGTCTTCGAGAAATACTGCACCCTCCAACCCCAGAAGGACAGCCTGGCACAGGGGCAGAGATCAAAGAGAGGTGTTATTGGTGGCCTTGTGTGTGGGAGGGCTATCTGGGGAGCTCAGACTGAGACCATGCCAACCCCCACCCTGCCAGCCCCTCTCAGCACTGCCCAGGGCAGCAGAACCTTTGCCCTCAGTGTCTGCCCCCACCTTCCTTTGGGTATGGTGACTACTACCCCCCTGCCAGCATCTGGGGGGAACCTCAATTGACCCAGGACATGCAGAGCCTGGAGAGCAAGGGGCCTGGGGAGACACCCCCAAAGCAAGCTGGACAGGTTTTTCCAAGCAAATTGCTAATTCTACCACATCAGTAGCATGCTAGTTTTAATATTAAGCCAAAACAAAAATGTGTTAAGCTGCCACGCTGGGAAGGTACAATGTCCCACCCAACAAACACTGTGACATCCCCCCTTCCTCCCAGCAGGACACTGAACCCCTAGCTTACAGATAAGGAAACTGAGGCCTCACAGGGGAGCAGACACTTGCCTGTAGTGGCCCAGCCAGGGGCAGAGCCAAGAGAAGCATCCAGGCGCCCCAACTCCCATGTGCACGAGGGAGGTAGCCAGAGTGGGATAAGACCCGGACAGCAGCTCAAGTAACCATCAGCGACAGCATCAAGGACTCACACGGGCCAGGACAAGGGACACTACACACGCTGGGGGTGATGGCCCGGCAGCTGGGGAGACTGAGGGCTTTTATGAGAACATGTCACAGCTGGAGCTGGAGGGCTGCAGTCAGCTGTTTCCCCAATCTCTCGGCCCCGCCCTGGCTGGAGGAAGGGTGCTAACCCCAGATTGGCTACCCACAGTGCCAGACTCAGCTGTGGACAGAGATAAGGCACCCTCCATGCTGTCTGCATGTCACCCTGCCCTGGGACATAGTCACCCAAGACACCCCCTCGTGGTCTTGGGAGCTCCTCACAGTCAGGGGCCCTGCAAATCAGGCCTGTGTTCCTGGCCTGAGACCCAAGTGCCCAGAGGCCCCTCACCCAGCCCCACCTCCCAGCAGAGTGGCCCCTTGGACCCCACATCCCCTACACACTCCTCTCTGCCTGGCCCCAGCCTTTCCTGCACCCTCTGCAGGCCCCACACAGGCAGTTCCTACACCTCCCCTGACACAGTCTATAGGAGCCAAGGCGGTTCCCTTTACCTGTGCCAGGCCCCCCTGAACTGCGCCTGTCCCTTCAAAGCCATAGTCTAAATCCTGGCTGTAGAAAGCAGAGCCCATGGCTTCGAGCCACAGTGACACAAGATGGCAGCCACCACGGGCTCAGGAGTAAAAGTCCCTCACAATTTCCAACTGTTAGAAGAACTTGAAGAAGGCCAGAAAGGAGTAGGAGATGGCACAGTTAGCTGGGGTCTAGAAGATGATGAAGACATGACACAAGATGGACAGGGATGATAATTGAGCCTCCAAGAACAATTTATGAAACACAAATATACAGCCTTAAAATAGAATGTGGACCTAAATACCCAAAAGCACCATCCTTTGTAAGATTTGTAACAAAAATTAATATGAATGGAGTTAATAGTTCTAATGGAGTGGTGGATCCAAGAGCCATATCAGTGCTAGCAAAATGGCAGAATTCATATAGCATCAAAGTTGTCCTGCAAGAGCTTCGGCGCCTAATGATGTCTAAAGAAAATATGAAACTCCCTCAGCCACCTGAAGGACAGTGTTACAGCAATTAATCAAAAGGAAAAACCACAGGCCCTTCCCCTTACCCCCATTCGATTTAAGCAGTCTTCATTTTCCACAGTAGTAAATTTTCTAGATACGTCTTGTAGACCTCAAAGTACTGGAAAGGAAGCTCCCATTCAAAGGCAGTTTATCTTAAAATACTGTAAATGATACTAATTTTTTGTCCATTTGAAATATATAAGTTGTGCTATAAAAAAAAAAAAAAGAAAAGAAAGAAAGAAAGCAGAGCCCATGGACCAGCGGTGCTGCATTGCCCGGGAGCTTATTAGAAATGCAGAGTCTCAGGCCTCACCCCAGACCTGCTGCATCAGACAGGACACACCTGCATTTAACAAGTTGCCCGGGTGACCCGTGTGCATTAGCGTTTGAGACGCACTTTTATAGACCACTTCTCTAATCAAGTCATTGCACCCACAGCCTATAACCTTCGATGGCTCCACAGGGCCTGGTGAAACAAGGCCAGACTTAGCAGCTTGGCAGTCAAGGCCTTGCCCAGCCTGGCTTCCACCCCCTGCTCCAGGCCTGGGCTCCCCCTCCACCCTGGGAATGCCAATCCCCTCCTTGGCCAGCCAGAGCTGCCCGGGACTTCAGGACCCTCTCCAAGCACCACCTCCACCAGGACGACGGTCTGGACCGCACCCCATCGTAGCACACCTGGCATGGCGCATGTTTATTTCCTGGAGAGTGGAGACCGTGTCCAGTGTTCCCAGTGCCTCAGAGCACCAGGCTGGGGGCACAGGAGATGCCAGGCGCCGGCTGCAGCCAACAAGACCCGGCGTCTGGTTGTCAGGAAGTCCACCCTCAGCTCTGGCCTGCCCACCTCAGGCTCTGCCAGTCTTCACCTCAACCAGGAAGACAAGGACTTGGGCACCGTGGACGGGCCTCCTCCGTGCTCCCCTGCCAGACAGAGAAGGGAGCACCTCTTGACAACCATGAAGCCTGGTGAACTTCCCATAGCAATGTGTTTGCTCTGTGCCTCAGTTTCCCCAAATGCAGAAGAGAACACCCATCAACCCTGCCTCCCTCTCTTTCTGCCAGACAGACGGGCACATCTCCTAAACTCTGTGGCTCAGAATATGGAGGACATAGACCCCATTCTTGTGTGCCCAGCAAACCCTTCCTCGGCCAGCCAGCCAGGTCCCTGGGAGGCCAGGTCACCGGCCCAGAGGTGTCCTCGTTCCCAAATAGGAAAGCCTCTCAGGCAGAGCTGCCTCACCCTCCTCCCTCCTTCCTGGCCCAGTTCCTCGGGCCCAGCATCCCGTGGGAAGTCCCTGCTCCTTCACACTGGGTCTGCACGGAGAAGGCTCTCGAGCACGGAACCCATAGAGTTCTCCTGGCCTCTATAATCACCCAGGAGCAAAGAAAAAAGTCTCTCTAATCCCATTTTACAGACAGACAAAAAGAGGTCAGGCAGGGTCAACACTGAAGTGGATTAGGTTTCCAATTCCATTTCTCTGTTTTGCTCAATCTGCTTCCACATTTGACCTGGCCCAACTCAGACCCACCCAGGTTCCCAAGGCTGAGCCTAAAGCTGCACGTCACAGCATTCTAGATGGAATCCAAAACAGGCCAGCTCATCCACCGAGCCCCTATCTGACCTCCTGTCCTCTCCCAGGAGGCTGGGATTTTAAGAAGCTGATGACAAGGGCTATGCCAAACCAGAGGAGTAACATTCTAACAGTAGCATGTCAAGCAGAGAGCTGTTTTGATACCAGAGACTGTAGACCTCCCCAGCACCCCAAACCACCGTGTGCATGACGCCCAGCTACTTAGCCTGGGTCCAGAGACCCTCCTGGAAGAAAAAGTGGGGCATGATGCAGAGAAACTCAGTTACCACTCTGAGCCAGGACCCCTTCTACCATAGAGAGTGTGACTTCTTTCCTACCTCCCCACCCCCAAGGCCAGGCACCTCTGGGAGGCAGGAAAAACCTCATTTGTTGAGAAGCGCTCACTGGCGTGTGTCTGAGAGGCACACGAGAAGTGACAGCATGGACTGGTTTACAGCCTGGATTCTGGAGCCAGATTGCTTAGATTCAACCCTCCCTCTGTCACTAGTTGGCTATATGACTGTGCCTCGGTTTCCCCATCTTAGAAATGGGAATAAGACCTTCTGTATAGAGCTGTTAAGAGGATTCTAGGAGTTAATATTTGCAAAGTCCTTACTTAGAACAATGCCTGGCACCCAGTGAGTATACCAGGACCCTGCCCCCACCTCTTGGCCTGATTTCTCCCAACAGGGATACCCTCCTTGTTCCTGCCTATGCCAGCTCGAGGCCTTTCCTAGGCATGCCAGCCCAACCCCAGATGTGGACCACCAGCCCCTAGTTCCAGTGGCCACCTCATGGTGTTACCTTGGTCCATCCCTGTCCTCCTGACCAGGGCCTACATCCCTCCCTCCCTTCCAGATCTGAGGTCCCCTGACTCTTGGCTTTCCATTCTGAGAGTACCAGCCACACGACTGGCTCCTCTGTGTAAACACAAGAGCTATGGGTAGAAAGACAAGGGTCTATAGGGAGACTGCCCAGGGCTGGACACCCAGAAATCACCCAAGGGAGTAGGCTGAAATAAATCCCTGCCTGCCCAGGCTGCCTGAGTTAGAGAATTCTCTAACTCATCTCCTGAGTTAGAGAATCTCCCTCCTACCCAACACACACACACACACACACACACACACACACACACCTCTGTTGACCCAGCTTGGATTTCCACCAAAGAAAGCAGAGAAAATCATTTATCCCCAACCCATAGGCTCACATCCTGTGGGTACCCCGGGCTCCCTGGACTCCCCTATAGCACACAGGCCACCCTCAAGCCACCGTACCTTCTCCACTTCCCTTTTTCACATCCCTTTGGCCCGCTCTGATTCTTACAGCAATCTGCACAACTGCTTTTGTGGAAAGAAAATAAAAATCCTCAGGGTCACTTGAGGTTTAAAGGGAGTTGCTGTGCAGACTGCAATACCTACCCCTTTCTGCCCAGCCCAGCCCCAACTTGCCCGCCTGGCTCAAGATTTCCTGGGCATCAGCTACATGCCAGGCACCATGCTAGATACACAGCAATGGTCCATTCAGTCCAGGTTCCAGCCCCTAAGAAGCCAGACAAAGTAAACATTTGCCTGTCACAAATGGTTATGGACTATGGTAAATATGATAAAGTCAGCAAATCAGGTGTTATGAAGAATTACAGGGTAAGAGAGGCCTTCTACCAAGACTGAGAAGGCATTTGAATGAACGTATAATTAAGTTGAGACCTGAAAAATAAGAAGGAGCAGAGCCAGTCCAGTAAAGAGTACTAGAAAAAGCACTCCAGGGAGAGAAGATAGCAGGAGCAAAGGCCCTGGGGCAGGAAAAAGCTTAGGGTGTTCAAGCAGAAATGATTCAGCTGTTCCCATCAGGGAGCATGCAAAGGGGAGGATGGTCAAGATAAGGCTGGGGAGGTCAGCTGTAGCCAGATCGTGGGGAGTCTGGTAGGCCAGGGAAATGCTTTCAACCCTTATTTGAGCGCAATAGTGAGCTATCAAGGATTTAAAAGAAATGAGATGATCTATGCAAAATTTTCTGTATAATTCTTGCCCCTTTCTAAAATGGATGAGAGGAAGGGACAGACATGGAGAGAGGGCTGTCTACTGCTACTACATTCAGGCAAGGCTTTTGGGGAGAGGTTTGGGGAGGACAGGGTCTCAGTCTGTTGCCTGGGCTAGAGTGCAACGGTGTCCTCATAGCTCACTGCAGCCTCCAAATCCTGGGCTCAAGCAATCCTCCTGGTTCAGCCTCACAAGCAGCTGGGACTATAGGCATGTGCCACCACACAAGGCTAATTTTTTTTTTCTTTTTTCTTTTTTTTTTTTTTTTTTTGGAGGCTGGTCTCTAACTCATGGCCTCAAGCAATCATCCTGCCTTAGCCTCCCAGAGTGCTAGGATTACAGACGTGAGCCACACTCAGCCATTGAGGCAAGACTAGAAAGGTAGTCTGGACTGGGGCAGATGGCCTAGGGCACTAACAGTGGACTAGGAGTACAAAGAACAGGCCTGAGACAGATTCTGTGACAAGAAGCAAAAGGACTACCTCTTAGAAGAGTTAATGCCACCTGGTTTCCTGCCTTAAAAGGTGAGTGGATTATGGGCCATTCACTGAGATGGGAAGGCCTGGGGAACATCATGTCCAGGGAGTACAGCCCGGCTCTGTTTCATCTGCACTAAGGTTTTCATCATCCGGGACATCATAAGGCATCGGATGGGAGCTTAGACAGAGAGGCTGGGGCTGGAGATCAAATCTGCTATTTAAAATCATAAGAATGAAAATGAGGTACATTTAAGATCTGTATGTTTATAAATTAATGCTTGATTTTTAAAATCATAAAGAATGAATTGGGGGTGTAAAAAGAAGGGAAAGGAAAAAAGGGGAGTCTGGGGAGAGCAGGGGCTGGGGACAGAGCCCTGGGACCCCCCAGCATCTAGAGCTGAGTGAAGGAGTTATCTGAAAAGACCAAGGAAGGGGCATCCAGGAAGGGAAGAGGAAAACGACGAGGAGCCAAGGAGAACACTGGTTCTAGGGGAAGGAGTATTCAGGGGGACCAAGAGAGGGGGAAGAAGATCTGCTGTGGGGGCGTGGAAGTCGCCGGCGACCCTGGCTGAGGCTTGAAGCAGTGGAAGGGAAGTCAGTCCAACCGGCTGAAGAACCCACGGGCTGTGCCCTACAGGGGCAGGCACAGCCAGCTCTCCCGAGCAGCTCTGCTGCGAAGAGAAGAGGGTCCCTAGGTGCAGGGCAATGAGGGATTGAGGCAAACAAGATGCTACAGAGTGGGAGGTGGGAGGCAAAGCACGTTCTTACGCCGCTGTGAATGATCCAGACAGAGGGAAAGAAACCTACTGCTAACACTGGAGAGAGGGAAGGTCGCTGAGTAATGGGGGGCAGGGGTGGGGCCTTGGAGCCCAACCCGAGGCACTGGCCAGTGGCAGGGATTGTGATGCCTCCACCGGGATACCACCTCCCTGCCCCCCAAGGGGCCATCTAGCACTGTGCCTGAACAAGAGGGAAGGGGCAGAGGGGGCAGAATGCAAATGTGGGGGCATTCACTTCACACTCTTTCATATGCACGCCTACCCGGCCCTCCATTCAAGCCCACGCCCGTTGACACACACCCCCCTCCACGGGCACCTGCTGCTTGCTCCAAGCACGGCCAAGTTGCCCCAG